GAGGGGGGGGCCGCGGGGGGGGGCTGGGAGGACATGGTCTCCAGTATCCAGCCCTTGAGCCTGGTGATACGCACATACACTCCAGGCTTCCGGGCCTGGGCACAGCCGATGCCCCAGCTCACGATGCCTGCCAGGTAGAACACGCCAGGGGTCTCCTCGCAGGCCAGGGGGCCACCAGAGTCACCCTGCCAAGGAGGAGGCAGCACCGGCTGGCCCCCGGGCACCCATTCCACAAGGCGCTGCTGGGCCTGCTGGGGTCCCACTGGTGGGGGAGGGGGCTTGAGATTCCCCGCTGTGTGGCCCTGGGCAGTGCCTTCCCCTTTCTGAGTCTCCAGTGGTGAGGCCCAGACCCCACTGAGTGACCCAGGTGGCCCTTCTCCCCTCCGAGCCTCTGTTGTCCTTGCTTTTGTTGTGAAGCAATGCAGAAAACTAAAGAAAAAGGGGACTGAGCCAATCTTTAGCTGCCATTTAGAACCGCCGAGATCTGGCATGGTCATTCATGCTGAGACAGATCTTTGACACTTTGTTTCTTGTGGGGCTATTTTGTGTCTTTGTTTCCTAGCAGTGAACAGCCCCTAATCCTTCTGCATCAGAACACCCCCCAATCCTTGTCCCTAATCCACAGGTGGCATGTGCACCTGTGGTTCCAGCTCTCCGGGACACCAAGGTGGGCTAGGCTGTCTGCACCTCTGTGCTTTAGTGTGAGTTTTAACACCAGCCCACTAGGTTATGTGGCAAAGTGCTCCTGGGGTTTTGACAGGAGTCACACTGATTTATAGAAATAACTTGGGAGAAAGTGGATCTTTGTCATACTGGATCTCACCATCCATGAACATGGTATACTTATTCATTCAGCTCTTCCTGCTTCCTTCGGTTCATGATTTTCTCCTCAAAGACCCTGAGCCCTTTGGGTTGTTGGTCTGTTCCTAGACACCTGACAGATGTGTTGGCCTCATCAATGGGATTTCTTTTCCTGTGACATCAGCTGTCACCGGGAAGAGGTGTGCTCCTGACTCTGCTGTGGTGGTTGTGTTTCAAGCATGTTGTTGAGCTCTTATGAGTACCAGTGGCTGCTTAGTCAAGTCTTCGTTTTGTATCTTTGTTTATTTTTAAAATTCTGTGACCTTCTCTCCCTTTTCTTGACCTGCATTCATCCAGATGCTCTTTGCAGTCTGGGGCTTTCTTGCTTTGGCCAGAAGGCTTTTGTTTCATTACCAAGCACAATGTTCACAGGGTTAGAATTTAAAACATTGTAACTGCAAGTAGTTCCTGAAAATTACCAAGTGCTTTCTTCTGTGATCTTGAAGATCACTCTATTTCTCCTCATCCATCCACAAGTGTAATTACGGGCATTAGTGGGTTTAATGAATTTTCCAGTGTTGAACCAAGCTTTTTTATCCCCCCCAGAGGCAAGGTCTTACTATGTTGCCCAGGCTGGTCTCAAACTCCTGGACTCAAGCGATCCCTTTGCCTTGGCCTCCCAAAGTGCTAGATTACAGGTATGAGCCACTGCACCTGGCCACACCAACATTTTTTTTTTTTTTTTTTGGAGTCTCACTCTGTCACCCAGGCTGGGGTGCAGTGGCACGCTCCCGGCCACCCCAGCATCAACCTGTTGGGCTCCGGTGAGCCTTCCACCTCAGCCTTCCAAGTAGCCAGAACTACAGGCATATGCTACCATGTCCGGCTAATTTTTTTTTTTTAATTTATTGAAGAGACGAGGCCTCACGAAGTTGCCCAAGCTAGTCTTGAGCCCGCAGGCTCAGGCAATCTACTTGCCTCTGCCTCCCAAAGTGCTGGGATGACAGGCTGAGCCACCAAGCCTGAGCCAACCTTTTTTTTTTAATGAGATAAACTCACCTTGGTTGGGATGTGTTTTCCTTTTAATGTGCTCTGGATTTAATTTACTGGCATTTCATTAAAGGTTTTACTTCTGTGTTTCTAGGTAAGACTGGCCTGTAATTCTATTTTCCCATGTGTGTCCTTGGCTTTCATGTCAGGGCTCCACTGGCCTCTTATGTTCGAGCCCTTTCTTCTCCCGTAGGGTGGGTCAGTCACACTCCAAGTGTCCACTGGCTGCTCTGTCGGGCAGAGTGATTATGTAGGGACTGATTTATGGCTTGCTCTTTTCAGTTCATAATATATAATGTTCATCTTTCAGAATCGGCCTGTGTGTTTTTTATGTATATCTGCACATACTTTTTAAATATATATATATTTTTTGAGTCGAGGTCTCACTCTGTCGCCAGGCTGACCACAGCCTCCACCTCCTGGGCTCAAGTGATCCTCCTGCCTCAGCCTCCCAAGTACCCAGGACTACAGTCACCACCGTGCCTGTCTCCACATGCTTTTTTTTTTTTTTTGAGTCGGAGTCTCACTCTGTCACCCAGGCTGGAGGGCAGAGGCCACTCCCGGCCACCACAGCCTCGACCTACTGGGCTCCGGCGATCCTTCCGCCTCAGCCTTCCAAGTAGCCGGAATTATAGGCGCGCGCTACCACGCCCAGCTGATTTTTTGATTGATTGTAGAGATGAGGTCTCGCTGCCCAGGTGGGTCTCGAACCCACGGGCTCAGGCCATCCACTCACCTCAGCCTCCCAAAGGCGCGGGATGACAGGCTGAGCCACCGAGCCCGGCTCCACATACTTTTAAATTGCTGCCTCGTCTTTTGCCTGGACATGCCGTCCCTTAACCCATTTCCCACTGATGGGCGCTTGGGGTGGCAGGGCCCGGGGTGATGGACTTGGGGTGGTGATGGGCCCTTGGGGTGTGGATCGCCCTCAGAGTGGTGGGGGCCCCTGGGGGTGGTGGCATTCCGGCTCTTCCCTGCTCGTGCCCAGCTGCACGGACAGTTCTCTGCTTCTCTCTGAGTACACTGAGCATGTCGACGTCCAGCCCCGGCCTGCAGCGCGGCCCGACATGAGGGTGCAGGTGCCCACCGGCCCCCGTGCGCTCACCTGGCAGGAGTCCACCTTGCCCTCCAGGAAGCCTGCACAGATCATGCGGTCCGTGAGGGAGAAGTTGTAGAGCACGCTGCACGCCTTGTGGTCGAGGATGCCCACGGACGCCTTCTGCAGGGTGTCGGGCTTGCTCGCTGCCGGGAGAGGGCCCACGCTGCTTACGGGGCGTCCCCAGGCAGGGCCCAGCTCCACCCGGCCAGCTCTGAGGGTGAGGCCTGTCCTGCAGGTGGGACCCAGGCCCGCAGAGTCCCAGGGGCCGTGAAGCCACCAGGCAAGGAGGCCGACCAGACTCCCAGCTCAGGGCCCAGGCACGACGGCCCTTTGGGTACCCGTGGAACGCCATTCTGAGGCTGAGCGTTGACTCTGGGGTGGGAGGGGTCTCTGAGCAGAGCAGCACAAGCCTCGGCAGACTCTATGAAGGGCCAGAGAGTCTTTGTCACAACGACCAGCCGAGGCTGTTGTCCCAGGGAAGCAGCCACGGACAGCCTGCCAGTGAATGCACGTGGCCCTTGTTCCAATAAAACTTTACTCATATGGACAGGGGACGGGGGCCTGTGCCCCCTGGTGGAATGAAGGGTGAGGCCGTGGGACCAGGGACGCCCATCTGGGCAGGCCAGGCCAGGGCCAGGCAGGGGCCCCCATCGGAGCCTCCCCTGAGACCCCAGCTCACCGTTGCCCTCCTGCGTGTTGCCCCACCCGGAGATCATGCACTTGCGGCCCACGGGGAACTTCTGGATGGCCAGCGGGAGGCACACGGGCTGCACGTGCTTGTTGAAGGCCAAGGGGCGCGTCAGCTCCAGCACGGCCAGGTCGAAGTCCAGGATGCCGGGGTTGAACAGCGGGTGCAGGACCACGCGCCGCAGGCCCACCTTCACGGGGCTCCCGCC